AAAAGGGTAGTAGCTTGAGGTCTCTATGATTTGCTTCTTTTAGAGTGGATCTGGGATGAGGGTGATTGAGGTACCAATATACTTAGTAGCATCAAGTCTAAGATCGAGCTTTGTCCCATGATTAGGGGCTGGTGGAAGAGTCCCCACCTCTTGCCCACTTCTTGACTGTACTGGACCAGAATTTAGCCTTAGCAACAGGGAATTAGAGGAACCATGAAAAATGCTGATGCCCTTCCCCCTCCTAGGAAGATTGCTCTCTAAATTGGAACTAGTCAGGGAGAAGGAATCTTATATTCCTGTATGTTTCAATCTGGACTAGAGATTCACTCTCCACTGGGCTTGGAGGGTTGTTGAAAAGAAGCATGTCTTGGTTCAAATATCACAGACTTTCACTGTTATTACAGCTTTGGTAGATTTTCTTGAATAAATGTTTTTTCATTTGTTTTATGTCTTTAGGTCTATTTCCAGAATGCTTAGAGAGTTGTTTTATGTTATTATTTTCACTAGTTTCACTGGAGAGCAGATTCAGAAAGCTCACATGCTATAATGCTAGAAGTGTATTTGTTGATTTACATGTAGTGTTACTATTGATGTAGTTGGATTTATATCTTACATTTTAATTTTGTTTTGATATGTCTGATGTCTTTCTTTGTTTTATTCATCCTTTCTTGCTTTCCTTTGCATTAAGTATACATTTTCTAGTGGAACTTTTTATGATTTTTTTCACTGTGTTTTTTTTTTGTGTGTGTGTTTTCTTAATGTCTCCTCTAGAGCTTATCATATATTTCTTAGCTTATCAGATTATACCTCATGTTTACGTTAATGCAGTTTTTATAAACATATAAATGTTATTTCCATATAGCTCTATTATTATCATGTATATTTTACCTATACACTATTTTAAAATATTTTAACATATTATAAAATATGTAATATGTTTTAGACCCAAGAATATATTATTTTTATTTTTACTGTATGTAACCTTACTTATCAAAGAAGCTGAGTTAAGAAAAGAGGAGTTTGTTATATTAAATCTATTTATTTACCAACTTCTTCTCTTCTATCTTCCTACCTTTTTTTACCCCTGTCTTTTGACTTCATAAGGAGAACTGTTGGGTTTTCAACATTGATATTCCATTAATTTATAATTTTTAAAGACCATAATAATATAAGGGATGATTTTGTGGAATAAATTTTGCTTCCTCCAAAGATATTTTCATGTCCTAACCCCAGTACTTGTGAATGTGATCTTACTTGGAAATACATACAGTCTTTGCAGATGTAATTAAGGTTTTCAAGATGAATTCATCCCAGATTTCAGATGGGCTGGAAATCCAATGACTAGTGGCTTCATAATAAAAAGAAGAGTAAGATATGACAGAAGGATGCACAAGGAAGAAGGTCATTCGAAGGTGGAGGAAGAGATTGGAGTTATGTTACCCCAAACCAAGGAACGCTAGGAGCCACCAGAAGCTGGAAGAAGCAAAGAAAGTTTGGATTGTGGCAACAACTTGATTTTGTACTTTTGGCCTTCAGAAATGTGAGGGATCAGATTTCAGGAATTTTAAGTCTCCTGTTTTTTGATAATTTGTTATGGCAGCCTTAGGAAACTAATATACCTACCAAGTAAGCATCAGCTTTTTTTTTTTGTATGTAAATCCATTTTTGCTCTAGTTTATAAAATTTTCCTTCCTTACTTAATTGAAACTTAACCATGGGGTTAACACTGGTGATTCTAATTATTATAAAATACTTCAAAATATTAGATATGGTTAATTAGCATTAATCTTGAACAACAAATATATTTTATGTGAACATAAATATTTCAATAAGGTCCTATAATCTACCTAGCTATTACTGTCAAGAATATAGTAAGTTGTGCCAGTTCATCAATTTGTTGCCTATCATCTCCAAATTCACCCTTATGGAGTGCTCTGTGAAAAATGCATCTAAGCCATTTAAGTACTTTTCCTTTGGTTATCTGGCATTGAAATTTATCAGTAGAAGGCACTGGAAAGATGGTACAGGAAGAAAAGATTTTTCTTATAGCAGGCTCACTGGGTAGGCTGCTCCTGCAGCTTATGCAGCTCTCTCCAGTGCCAGCTTCTTTGGTGCATAGTTTCCACAGTGCAAGAAAGCTTTCCCTGGTAATGTCCCTCTTGTAATTTTGTAGTAAAGCATCTCTGGTGAAACACTTCCCTGTGAACACCTTTCTCAGGTACCACAGAACACCAATTGCAGAGTTTTAGCAAGTGCCATCTTTTTTTGCCACCAAATTTCCACTGGCTGTGTCCTGTCCAATAAGGTCTAGATCTTAGCTCTGGACAGAGAGGAGTTGTGGAGGGTGCTTAATCTCAGTTCTAGGGGAGTGGCCACTGTATCTAATATTCTGTTATATTCTACTATTCCTATATCCTTTAGAGTTTTGTGGGTTTTTTTTTTTTTTTTGAGATGGAGTTTCCATCTGTCACTTGGGGTAGTATGCAGTGATGTCATTATAGCTCACTATAACCTCAAACTCCTGAGCTAAAGCAATCCTCCTGCTTCAGCATCCTAAATAGCCTGGGCTACAAGTATTTGCTACCTTGCCTGGATAAATTTTCTATTTTTTGTAGAGATAGGATTTTGGCCTTGCTCAGGCTGGTCTCAAACTCTTGGCGTCCCAAAGTGCTAGGATTACAAGTGTGACCCATCGTGCCTGGCTTAGATTTCTCTTTACTCCCTACTAACTAATCCCTCATACTCCAATCTCTTCTTAACATTAATAATTATTTACCTTAAACTTTCCCTATTCAAATGACTGTGTGCTTTTTCTCTCCTGATTGCACCCAGACTGATACAGAAGTAATCATAGGCTAACAGTGCTGCATACATTTGGAAGTATATAAATATATTCTCACATGACTTTGACAACAATTCCTTGAAGTAGGCATGGCAAGTATTATTTATTACATTTTACAGGTAATAAGGAATAAGGTTCGGAGTTGTGAGTGGTCCAAAATCACAGTCATTTTTATCATCTGTAAAATGGGGATAACAATAGAACTTACCTCATAGGGTAAATACTAAATGAGGTGATACTGGCATGATAAACTGTTATATACAAGTTAAGCATCCCTAATCTGGAAATCAGAAACCCAAAGTGATCCAAAATCTGAAATTTTTGAGGATCAACTTGATGACATCAAAAGTTGAAAATTACACACTTACTCTCAGGTAAAGGGTAGCAAGTGTGAATCTGTTTTATGCACAAAATTATTTTAAAATATTATATAAAATCATCTTTAGGCTATGTATATAAGGTGTATATGAAACATAAAAGAGGTTTGTATTTAGACTTGGGTCTTACCCCGTAAATTATCTCATTACATAAATGCAAATATTCCAAAAGCTGAAAACATCCAAAATCTAAAATATTTCTGGTCCCAAGCACTTTAAAGAAGGATATTTGACCTGTATATTATACTTGAACTGTAAAAATTACTCAGACAGTCTACTATTTTATTAAACTACTGGCAATGAATTGTCTAGGTTTTATGTAGCTTTTCAATAGCTAATTATTTTAAGTAATGGTATTTGTTTTGTCAAGTGCTACAACATACCAACCAAGGATAAACCTATCATTTCACAATTACTTTGTGTAATTATTGCTTTCTAAGGAAAAAAAAAAATGACCAGAGTGAGAGCTAATCAACTTAGGCTAAGTTTATATTGGCTTACTACAACACTAGGTCCATGTGGTCAATGGCTAAGCTCTAAGTGATGAAACCAAATTCCTAAGAATATATCCCTAAATTTAGAAGGTGAACCTTCATTCTTGAATATTTAATTGTTAATAATACATGCCCGCCTTGTAACCAGCACTTACAGTCTCATGAGGTTCAGTTTCTATTAATTCTTTTGGTTAAGGCATGGGGTGGGAAGAGGACGTTAAGGGCATGTAGAAAACGTTAAGCACCCAGTTTACTGTATCTGTGTCAATTACTATACCAACCCTTTGATCACTGAAGATTTCAGTAACCAAATACAGAAGGTCAGTGCAGTACTGAGTTGGAGTTATATATTAAATGAATGTAGTCCCAAACATATAGACAATTGCTTGTATAGATATATGCAATAATATATAAAAAACATTGGTCAATGTAAAGCACTTCATTTTTAGAAAATGCAATATAATGTTATCTTGTAGGAATGGAATAGGACATTTATTTATAGAGCATGTTAAACTTTGGGAAGGAGGAAAATGCTTCATGGCTGACTGCAATTTATCATGCAAATATTTATCAGAGTGGGGGACGTACTAAATGGTTCTTCTGTAACAATATAAGTTCTTCACTCTGAACTGTTAAATACAGAATTTTCACTTGGTACAAATATCACTTAGGAATAAGTAGGGGCTCCTTTTTCTCTCTCAGACATAAAACTCTTTAACTGGCAAGCTTCCATTTCGTGGGGGAGAGAAAAAACAAAAAAACAAAACTGCTTTGGTACCTGGAGAAAAATAAGGAAAGCAGCTGAGTCAAGTAAGCTCCTCACAAGTACTTCAAGATCACCCCACAGTGAAGCGCCCCGGGCCGGAAAGAGCAACGTTGCCCTCCCAGGAAGGGCAAGCGACTTTGGAGCCCGCGGACCCGGACGCGAACTGGAACGCGAACACCACCATAGAGTTCTATGGCGGTTGACAGAGAGTCAGCTGCCGGTTAGCACCTTCCCCTCCTTTCCATAGCGGTAGCTAGGCAACTGCCCGCCCTCTGGGAGAGTAGAGGCCAGGGTACTGCGTTAGTGCCTCTGGCGGCGAACGCAAGTGCTGCAGGATCCTTCTACTGTTTTTACCCTCCCCTCTCTCCACCCCCTTTGCCCCCGCCCAACCCTTCGCCACTTCTGCTCCTCCCTCTCCTCTCTCGCTTGCTCTTGCTCTCGCTCGCTCTCGCTCTCTCTCGCTCGCTCCCTCGCTCGCTCCCTCGCTCGCTCCCTCGCTCGCTCCCTCTCTCTCTCCCTCTCTTCCTCCTCCGCCTCCTCAGCTCTTGGGCTAGAATATATATGGGTGGAAACGTGATGCGATGAATCCGAGAGAGACCGAAACTGGGACGGGGAGTGCAGCGGAAGCGGCGGGACTCCTGGGCATGGGGGCTTCACCACAATAGAGGCAGCGCCCCCACCCGCCCCCGCCCGCCCCCGCCAGCCCCTCCGGAGTGAACCTCCCCCCAAACCCCCTCGGGAAAAGGATGGCGGCGGCACCTACCCAGATCGAAGCCGGTGGGTAGCTGTGTCCGGGGAGCTAAGGGTGTGTGTGGGGGGGTGGGGGGGTAGCGCGACTGCTGTCAGTTTCTTTTGAAAAAGCTTCTATTTCTCTTCTTTGCCTCCTTTTCAACCTTTTCCCCCCCTCTTCCTCAGAGCTGTATTACCTGATCGCTAGGTTCTTGCAGTCCGGACCCTGCAACAAATCAGCTCAGGTGAGGGGGAGAAGGAGATCTGGGAATCGTGGGAGAATGGTCCCAATGGGGAAATCGAGGCAGCGGGGTGAGCAGTTTCGCTGAAGGTGAGGGAAAGGCCGGCCTTGACTAGTCTGACCATCAGTGGCTGGATTTTAAGTGGAGATGGAGGAATGGGTTGATGGCCTGAGCTGCTCCTTATATTCGTGTTTCCCTTTTGCTCAGGTGCTAGTGCAGGAGCTCGAGGAACATCAGGTACGGAGCCCCTTCGGGAAGGGGTGGGGAGGGTTGGGGTAGATTGGAGGAAGGGGAGGGCAAGTCAGGGGCGGAAGACAGGCCTGGAGGGAGGCTTCATCTGTATACCCATAGCTGTTGTCACCGGGGTGAACCGGTTTCTTTCCGCAAAGGGGCAGACAACATTGGGGTCTTAACTCACCTCCTCTCTAGGCGTGTAGGAGGCTTTTTTTCAGTATTTCCTCCTCCTTTTTCGTCCCCTCACCCCCGCCTATCTCTGAGGTAATAGCTGTCGGGCCAAGAGAAATAAAGACGCCAAAGAGTTGAGTACCGGGACCCAGGCAGGGTCCGGTTGATGGGGAGCGGAGGCTTTGCCTTCATCGTTTGTCCCCCCTCCCCTTTCTTTCCCTCCGGCCTTCAGCTGATTCCGCGCCGCTTAGATTGGGAGGGGAAAGAACACCGAAGAAGCTTCGAGGATCTGGTGAGTAAAGTTTTCATTTCAACTTAATCTAACTCTTTCTCCACTCCCTCCCCACCTTTTACCCCCAACCCGTCCCCAACCTATCAGCCAACTCGGCTCTAAGAGCTTCGTGCGGAGCCAGAGAACGACTGCCCCTTCCCCCCTCCCTGCAAGTCGGAGAAAGGGTGCTTTGCCTTCCACTTGGCCTCGCATGTTTCCACCCGAAAACTTTGAAGAATGTAAGTTGGTTATCACAGATGCCGTGTTGTGTATTATGAATATGTTACAAACATCGGGGAAGGCCCATTGTAGGGGGAAAGAGAGAGAAACCTGGGGGTTATCTTGGGGCACGTACCGAGGATTGACGCTGGCCAATGACAGCGTTGGTAACAGCCCTGAGTTCCGTATTAGTGGAAGAAAACTGGTTTCTGGTTGGTCCTGGCCTGAAATACGGGAACTGAGGCCAGCCTTGGTCCTTTCTTTTTTTTTTTTTTTTTTTAACTGGGGGCGGGTAGAGAATTGGCTTTGGTGGGGAGTTGACGCGCCAGGGACTCGGAAAAACCACATATTTAAAAATAATAAGGAACATCAAGCCAATTCCAAAATTTACTGGCTTTAGATAATGGACTACCAAATAAAAGCACAGTTATCCTAGATTTTCAGGTTTTGGAAAGTAGATTATTGTATTATCAGTACATCTCATTTGTATATATGCATTATCACTAAATAAAAACTATGAATAATGACCTTATTGAGAATTAGTGAATCACAATTTTGGATTTACAAGGAAACAACAATGGGAGTATTTTAAAATAGAATATACTTTAGAGAATGACCAAAGGCATTGGATTGGCTATGTTGTTCATCCTGCAGATCTAATTCATAGTATAAAGGCACCTACCGTTCAGCATTGACAAGCAAAAAAAGATGAATTTTTATTTTGAGGGCAGTGGATTCCCTTGTGCTAGCCCCTGCCAAGGTGCATTGGAGGGTAACGAAAGGAGAAAGGGATGTTACTAAAATCAGAATTCAGCTACCTTTCTTTCAAATAAGATCCAAGTGGAGGAAAGTCAGACAGTTAAAGAAAGTTGGGGGTGGGTATAGTAGACTGTAAATATAAATAAAATGATTTAAAATTTGCTTGCAATAACACTATATTTAAATTGCCTTAGTGTTCATTTTGATACTTCTCTTTTGTATTATAAGAGTGAGGCCACATTGTTACCAAATGTACTAAATTTTTTTCTTATATTTTGTTAGTTACAGAAGATGGGATTATAATTGTGGTAAGAGTAAATTTGACTGTAGTATTAATGGTAACAATTTCTAAGATGGATAAAGTTATTCTGGAAAAAACTTCATGCTTAAATATAGTTAGACTTTGTTGGACTTAAGTCCTTCTTTCCTCTCCAAAAAGGGGGAAAACAACAGTGCCTACTAATACATGTTTTGGCACTTAATAAATGACTTGTAGGGTTTTGTAGATATAGTTTTAATACTGAGGTGTGTTGAAATGTTTCAGTTACATTTGTTCCTTTTACAACTTATATGTATTTGCAAGGGGGACCATTATTAAGCAAGTACCAAAAGGAGACTAAAAAAAAAAAAGCTTTACTGAAACTAATTTTACACTGATAAAAAGTAAATAAACATCATAGCAATGAAGTCTCCTTACCACATACATATACATACACACACACACAACATCTCAATTTACTGGATTTTTTTCCCTTTTATTTTGTAAGGCATATTTTTACATAATTGTGATCAATGTCTATTTTGTGCTTTATATTTTTCTTAACACTTACGTACTTACTTGTGTATTTGAATAGTCATAAATCTTTTAACCATAAGAAAAAATTCAGTTGTATTTAAGATGCTGTAATTGAAACCAACTCCCAATTTTTCACTAATCTTTGCATAGTTAAGTTTTCTTTCTCTGTTTTTCTATAGTCTTCCTCTCCCAAGTTATTTTCTTGAGCCTTGTTCCCAAAAGTGGAGCTATCAGGTTAAAGGGTCTCATCACTTGCGTAGCTCTTATTATGTATTTGAAGATTGTCTTCCAGAAGATTATACTAGTTTATAATGTCACTATCTAGGTACTTAAAATGAGGATTTTTTGTAGGTTTTAATATTTTGGTGGCTTCAATAGGTAAGAATAGCTCTTAGTTGATTTAAGTAGCTTTTTAAGATTAGTTTAGTATTATTATTAGCTTTTCAATTGTTGTTAACCCATTTATATATTCTTCCATGTACAGAATTATAACCTTTTATCTTTTTAATCAGCTGTTTCTTTTCTGTTTTTTATTTTCTTAGACATCTTTTATGTACACAGAATTTATTTTTTAAACATTATCTGTAGATAAGTAGTTTCCTCTTTTAGCTTTTCATTTACTCTTTTATATTGTGTGCTTAGGATTTTTTTTTCTCTACTGGGATCCAGATTTTCTAGGGATAATATTTTTTGATACCATAATCTTTGAAGTTAATGTCTATTTTCTGCAAAAGGATTTCTTTGTAAGGGAAGATGGGGCAGGACCGAGTGAAAATTTGAACAGACTATAGTAGCTGAGGACTGAGTGTGCAGTGCTAGATTCATCAGTTGTATTGTTCAAAATTCATTCACATCTGATCTCTGATTTTGAGTGGCTTCATCGCGGAAGAAAAGAGGTGTTTTTTCTTGGGGTAGGTATTTTTTGAAGTTTTATTAGTCAATGGATTAATACAGTGTACTCTTGATTTAGGTACATGTTTTGGATTGAAATTTAGAGAGAAGGATTCATAGATAGTATAATCTTTACATATTTGCCACATTAACTTGTACAGCAATACTCCAAACTTAAGGTATACTGGAGTATGAAAAGGAAAGAATAAAAATGTATAATAAGGCACAGGACTATAAACAAGGATATTGAAGTGGTACTGATTGGGCTAGATAGCTACATACATGCATATTTGAAACAAAAATCCTGCCTTTTTGTTCATGTGTTTACTTTCATTTGAATTGATTGTCTGTAATGCTTAATTTGATTTATATAGGAGAATATTTCGGTAACAATAAATTGGATTTCTTTAACACCTTATTACTGCTGTTACTATTACAAATTCTAGAAATCTTCCCTTTTTCTTCTGATATGAACATCTAATTTAGTGTTTTACTTGTAATTTGGAACACAAGGGAAGTTGCTTTTTTGTTAAAGCCACTGGCAGGCAAGTACTGACATCTCCAGATCTGAGCTGTCTTGAAACAAAATGAGTCTATACATGAAATTTGCCTATCAGTTTATGTTGAGTTATAAGGTTTTTGAATGTGGTATTCAGAATGAAACATTCTAAATTTTTTAGAATTTTAGGATGATGGAGAATTTTGAAGTTGTGATCTGGGCATTTTTTTTTTTTTTAAATTTTCTGCTTCCTAGTTGACTGTTACTGAAACATAGTAGAACTAAACTTGTTTCTTGCAATTCATCTTAAGGTAGATAATTCAAATAAATACAGATATCCTTTAATTTGTGTTGATCCTATTGAATTGTTGGATATTTTATTGCTTCTTCTTTGGAGCTTTGTTCGGAATGAATGTAAGAGTGAGTGTGTGGGCTCGGCGCCTGTGGCTCAAGTGGCTAGGGTGCCAGCCACATAAACCTAAGGTGGTGGGTTCAAATCCAGCCCAGGCCCGCCAAAAACAATGATGATGGCTGCAACCAAAAACATAGCCAGGCGTTGTGGTGAGCGCCTGTGGTCCCAGCTACTTGGGAGGTGGAGGCAGGAGACTTGCTTAAGCCCAGGAATTGGAGGTTGCTGTGAGCTGTGATGCCACAGCACTCTACCCAGGGGGATAGCTTGAGGCTCTGTCTCAAAAAAAAAAAAAAAAAAAAGAGTGAGTGTGTGTGTATGTTTAAATAGTTTTTGTTAATATGTAAATTTTATACAGGGTATCTATAAAGTTCATGTGTAATTTAAAATAGTTGTAAATTTTAAATGTAAATTTAAAATTTGCACTTACTTTATTGTGTGCAATTTGAAATAGTTGTAAACTTTAAATTGCACACAAACTTTATGGACACCCAAAATGATTTTTTGGAATTTTTTTTTTTTTTGCAGTTTTTGGCCGGGGCTGGGTTTGAACCCACCACCTCTGGT